TTATCTTCTTGCTCAGTTGTGCAGCGGGGCCTCCCACTTCTCTTTCTACTCTGGGGAGAGCCTGTTTGTGCTGTTCTCTGAAGGGAGTAGTACACACCGTTGTAAGAAATCTTCAGTTTTTTGGCAATTTCTCGCATGGAATAGCCTTCATTTCTAAGAACAAGAATAGACTGTCGAGTTTCACATGAAAGTTCTCTTTTTCTGGCCATTTTGAGCATTTAATCGACCCCACAAATGTGATGCTCCAGATACTCAACCTGCTCAAAGGAAGGTCAGTTTTATAGTTTCTCTAACCAGCTAAACTGTTTTCAGCTGTGCTAACATGATTGCACAAGGGTTTTCTAATCATCCATTAGCCTTCTCATGCAATGAGCAAACACATTGTACCATTAGAACACTGGAGTGATAGTTGCTGGAAACGGGCCGCTATACACCAATGTAGATATTGCACCAAAAAACAGACATTTGCAGCTAGAATAGTCATTTACCACATTAGCAATGTATAAAATGTATTTCTGATTAGTTTAAAGTTATCTTCATTGAAAAAAACAGTGCTTTTCTTTCAAAAATAAGGACATTTCTAAGTGGCCCCAAACTTTTGAACGGTAGTGTATATATATATACACACTCTACCGTTTCGGGTCACCGATATTTGTGTTCCATAAAAGCTCACCCTTTTATGTATCAAAAGATTTGGAAGATGAATAAAAAATATAGTCAGGACATTGAGAAGATTAGGATAGAATAATAATTAATTTTCAAAACCTTTAGCATTCTAGCTTTTAATTTGTTAAGGTAATCTGAAGAAATTCCACCCCAGGCTTCCTGACGTACTTCCCACAACTTGGATTGACTTGACGGACACTAGCATACCGTACGGTCAAGTATGGTAATCTGCTAGGTCAGGAGCAGATAGCTGGAGCATTCAAATAAACTAAGATAAATGACATGTAAAAGTCAGTCAGAAAAGGCTAAATGCATTTAGCCTTTTCTGACTGACTTTTACATGTCATTTATCTTAGTTTATTTGAATGCTCCAGCTATCTGCTCCTGACCTAGCAGATGTTTGCATATGTATATATGTTATATATTACTGTTGTGTTACACAGAGTGTAGGAACATACCGTATAGATGCTGTCTTCACCATTCTGACAGATTAAAAAAAAAAAAACAAGATTAGATTAGATTGAGTTTCACAGTGATATTAAGGTACAAACAGACATGACACATGAAACTCATGTTTGTCTTTAATTTTCTAAGACAGGATGTACATGCAACTGTGAACCCTATAGGCCAAAATAGGGCTAAGATATAAAGAGGAAGAAGGAGCTTTGTGATGCAAGTGATGCAAGGTTTAAAAGATGTGTATGTGTGTGTGTGTGTGTGTGTGTCAGTGTGGGTTTCGTTTTACACCTCGTTTGTGGCTAGACATTGGAGTACAAACTAGCAGGTGAGAAAGAATACGAAGAGCGAGCTGCAGCCACTGTGGTCTTAATTAAATTATTTAAAAATATATATCTAAAAAACAAACAAACTACAAGTTAAATGTAAACGTATGCAAAAACCTGGCTCACCTGACAGCTACAAGTTAAATGTAAATGTATGCAAAAACCTGGCTCACCTGACAGGCTAATGTTAATGTGACATTGTCGGAGGATGATGATCCAAATAGATCAGAACCACGTAATAAAAATATGTGGAAAAACTATTTAAAGACAAATCATAGCTGTACAAAGTACAAGATAAATACTAATGTTAAGGAGAAGAAAACAAAATAATCAGAAATAGCTTTTGAATGAAATAACTTAATTTCTTTAGGAATTATGCCAAATTTAGTGGGTTTAAACAGAACTGTGTGTGAGTATGTTAAGCTGAGTCTTTGTGCACTTATTTGTACCTTTTTTGATGTCCCATCGTTGTCCTTTTCCTTGCTAAATATCTGTAAAAAAAAACAACAGAAAAACGACAAACAAAAAACGGTGTTGAATAAGAAACATAACAACTACAACATATTGCAGAGTGAGACTGAATTAATTATTTACTATCTATTGTTAGACATAATGTTGACAGATGTTTCCAGCTCAAATAGAAACAGTGGATCGGTTTCAAACCTCACTAAATAAAATGCAGTAAATGACCCTATAGTTTGAAAAAAATAGTACTTTATGACAATTTTACATTGAGAGAAACGTAGTATTCATCCAGTTTTAACTGATTGCAATACTTCATTATGCCGATGACACCCAACTATTTGCTTATCTTGAATCCAACTGGTGTGTTTGGTGTGCTCAAAACATTATATATATATGTGTGTGTGTGTGTGTGTGTGTGTGTGTGTGTAGCATTGTCCGTGTGTGAGTCCATAGCACACAAACCGTGACTTTGCAGTAGAGAGCGGTCAATACCACGCCGTACACAAACAGGATGCCGTCCAGCACATAACACACCTGAGGATCTGTGAGACCTGCTGAAACAAGAGCGTGATGAAGAGGATGATTAATTATTATTATTATTATTATTATTATTATTATTATTATTATTATTATTATTATTATTATTATTATTATTACTATTATTATTGCTGATAAGAAGAGAATAATATTTCTTTTATTGTCCATAATCAACATAAACACATCTGGACTTCAGGCAGGACAGTTAAGGAAACATATGTTCATGTAAATGTATAAATAAATAAATGTAATAACTTATTGTTTTTTAAATAAGTAAATATATCAATAACATCTTCACACAAATGCAGTACATTTATTTATTCTTTCATGCAGTGTATTAGTGAAAAGGACAAGCCAGTGTAATTTTATTCGAGCTGCATTTTAGCTAGGATGCTAATAAGTGGTGTATGTAGTATGTAGTGTGTCTCATCTCCTCCGTTATGTTGCCTTTTTGATTTTTATTTTACCTGGACTTCAAAAATATTCCAATATTACCTTAACCAGACATGTTTTTTGTTTTTGTTTATGTTTAACTTGTTTGCCTAAAACTCTTTGCAGCTCTGAACACTCAGTGGAGTAAACCAGTTCCTAGCCTTCTTTGACAGCACTTTTTAATTCATAATCAACACCAATTCCAACAGTTAACCTTAACATAGAGATTTCCCAGTGACTTCTACGGTCTTTGTCTTGTGCTTTGTTGTTTAATGATGGTTTATTAACATGCAGTTTTCTTGTCACATTTCGCGCAGTTAGCTTAGCAACGACACATTGCTCAAATTCGCATAGTTTCTCCATCAAACATCTGTTAGCCGTTACATTCCAGAATGTTACTTGTTTGACATGACTGGTTTCCTTTGGCCTCTCTCGCAACCTTTAGACGAGTAACAACGGCAACAATTTCTACATGTTTTTTATCATTTAGGCTTGCCCTTTATAAATGCTGCTACTGTGGTCGAACACCGAATCTAATACATAGATGCCACTTCCAGCTAAATAAACCCACAAAGGTCTATCTTTGCAGCCGTGGTTTTTGTTCAGATACCAACAACTGCTGTTCATTTGAATTTTGTGCAGCTTTACTGGCCAAGATAATTGTGGTGTGCATTTATCAAATGTGCAGTGTGTAGCTAGCTATTGTAAAGCCTTTGAGAGCAATTAAACATCCTGTTGTTAAGACAGACTTTTAGTTTGGTGCGGGTTTTATTACAATTTCCTTTTTAACGTTTACATGTCTATGTATGGAGCTGGACTTCAGTTGGGTTTTTTTGCTGGTTTTTGCAGCAGTTATTTACATCTTTACTTTACATAAGCACAAGTAAGGTTATCGTAAAGTAGGTTTTCTTTAGTCTCCAGAACACGTGTCAAACTCAGGCCTGCGGGATCATGTCAAATGTGTACTAGAGTTGACCCGCCTTATATAGCCACTATATATTGGCAGGATTTGTAGTATTAGCGGTGTATGAGCTATGTTATAGCACTGACATTTTGTTTTGTTTTTAATTTTATTGTTGCCCTGTGAACAAAGAATTTAAATTAAAAAGGAACTCAAAAGGCTACAGATAAAGAGACCTAATACCACTGATGTCTGGTTTATTTCAAATTTAATTTCTCATGTGTTTATAATATTAAGCTGTGATTTTTCAAGAAGTTTGCTTCCATATGTAAAAATTCTACATTACAGATCTGGAGAGGGGGAAACATGCACAATTGCTGTCAATTTTTCAATTAATATTAAGTTTGGCCCAAGACTTTGTTCCTGTTTTTAATTTTGGCCCACTGTGAATTTGAGTTTGACACGCCTAGAACATATTTTGTTTCTATCGATTACTATCAGGGGTATATGATTCATTTTTTACTTTTTAAAAATTGTTTTGAAATTCACCTTTTTGTGTCATTTCTGTCACTGGATCAAATCATCTGTTATTTATTTGGATGATTAGCAGTTAATTTTTTTTCCTCATGTGGTTATCAGGTAATGATGTAAAGAGCAGTTTTTTTCCCAGTGTTTTCCTTTTTGTCATAAAGCCAAAAAGGTGCATCGGAAAGGGAAAAAAAACACGTTTAGTTGTTATAAACAAACTAAAAAAGGCATTTCGTCCTGGAGGAAATGTGACATTTGTGTTGATGGAGAATCGCTGATTATTTGGATACGTGACCAAACTGGATACTATATCATATTATACAATAATACAATATACACATCTAAAATGAAGTATTTTAAGTTCTTTACCCTTTTTGGTTTTCACCTTTTACCTTCTCTAATGAAACCAGACTTCCGTTTTTATCTTTCTGTTCACGCACACACACACACACACTCACCCATACAGTAAGTCTTTTTTTTTCAGTTATTGGTCAAACAGTACAAACCATTTTAAACAGTAAAAAAAAGTAAAATCTGTTTTTTGTTTTTCATTATTTTGTCTGCATGTCAATTAACAGTTTGAACCCAACAGAAATATATATTTTCAATTATTTATTTTTTAACAATTAAATTTTGTTTGTATTTCTATAATGACCAAATATACAAAATTAGCATAGGTATTTCTGTATGTTTAAGTCATTTACTTTACTGTACTTTACCAAGTTAAAAAGTCTATTTTCAAAACAAAAAGGTTTCCTCAATGACCTTCAAGGTTTCCTCAAACAAAAAGGTTTCCTCAATGACCTTCCAGTCCTTCCATGTTAGCGAATATCTGGACTATTAAATGAGGAAATATCTGAGAAGGGCTGATCTACAGGAACTTAAAGTCACACAAAACCCCAACAGAAAAATATAGGAATAAATAGATGGTGGTAGTGTTCATGTGTACATGCCCACACACAACTTGTCACCTATCGACTACAAACAGGATGGTCAGCGTCACAGGAACCCATGGTGCAGCAACTGCGGTAACTCTGTCTTCTGAGAAATGCCGTTGTTCTGAATAACATTTTAGTTCCACCTCTTAAAATGTTTTTACCCAAATTAACCATGTCTACAGGTCATCTTCAACTGTCACCATTCATACACGTTCTTGAGAGTTCACTGTGAAACATTCCGACATTAAACTTCAGGAATAAAAAGTTGTTTTTTACTCACCAGAGACTTGATCAAAACACATCAATAGAAGAATGGCCACGAGTGACGTCCTTGTTCTCAAGAAGGCCATGGTTTCACCAGAGTAAAGGACCCTTTCAGCTGAAATGCTGCAGTTTGTGTGGTTCGCCTTATCAAGTGTATTCCTAGTCTGAAGTATTGCATATACCTTACAGCCAAGAGGGGAAGTTGTGGTGTGAGCTAGATGTCCACTAGTCGCAGATCACATCAGACCACTCCGCCCCAAACCTGAAACTGGAGGAAGGTCTCGTCATTGAGGCCCCATGCTTCTGCTTTGTGGCAACAGACCTTTCTCATGGTAAAACACACACATATACTGTATATACACACATATGCTGTACATATAAATACATACATACATGTATACATGTGTATACACAGCTACATATATATATTTAAAATAAAACATTATTTTCTCATTCACATTTGTTGGATTAAATTATTTCTGGGGGGGGAAAAAAGAGACCATCTTAACATGACTGAGGGGAAATAAAATATTTATTAGGTTTATTCAGACATGGTACATCCATGACTTAGAGCAGAGTCAACTGTCACAGGTCTCTCTACAGTGATCAGTGACCAGGAGGAGAATCAGAGAAACAAAAACAAAGTCACTTTATTCCTCTTAGAATACAAGACGGCGACCGGCAGCAATCGTATTAACGGTCAACTTCACCAAACACTATATCTTGTGTACCTGGAAGACACACAAAATAAACACAGGGTCAGAGTCGATGCTGCCGATTGGAGAGCTTCAACCTTAATGACACACAGACTTACCAATGATGGCTACCACGTCAGCTAACATGTGGCCGTTGGACATTTTATCCAGAGCAGCCTAGAAGAAGAGAAAACATCGATTCATGCTCTGAGAGATTAGAAATGATTTTAAAACATCTAAAGAGTTCAAATATGTGATTACACTAACTGATGTTTCTGACTTTAGAGACATGCTGAGTTTGAAGAGTAAAAATGAACGGACTAATGAAGAGCTGTTAGACAGCCAGGAAGGAGCAGAGAGGAAGGTCAGAGGGTTTACAGCAGTCTGTTAATGATCACTTCAGGATCACAGTTTGAATTATTACTACCTGTTGTATTTAACATATTTCATATTTACAATGAGCTACAGAAGGTTTTTCTAAGCACACAAACCAAGTGAGCGAATCCAGGAGCTTTGATTTTGCAGCGGTAGGGTCTGCTGGAGCCGTCGGACACCAAATAAACACCAAACTCTCCCTGCAGGCATGACAAAAACAGGAGGGTGAGTTCAGAAGTTATCCAAAGGTGTTTTTCTGTTAAAGCTAAAACGTGTGGAGACAAGTCTCTCAAATAGCTTGGGCAAGTTTAATGATGATAGCTTTGTCAGGGGTCTAAGTTTTATTTCCTCAGGTTTTATTGAGAAAAAGTAAAGTAAAAAGTTAGCAATTGTATTTTCTAATTTAGATAATGCAAACTTATATATATAAATATATAACTATATAGACACACATGTATACACATATACATATATACACACACACATTATAAATGATATTGTTTTAATGTCTTACAAACTTTAATGTCTTACAAACTGGCCTTGTACAATCTGATCAGCTGAGACTGTTCATTAGCTTTTGTGGAACAGCTACAGGACTCACGCAGCAGCAGAGGGTTTCAAACGCCTCTAACAAACCCCCGAGTTCTGTTCAGTCAAGGCAACTGCTCGTCTACGTTTGTTCAAGCTACGCTTAGAGTTCCCTCTGCTGGACCAAACTAGTAACTGCTTTAAAATATATTTCTTTTAAATATTAATCACCCACGCATTTTAATTCTCTTAATTAGACTAAAGCTAGAAAAAAACAAATTAAGTCCTTAAAAGTTTTCTCTGAGAAAGGGGACACCCTGTTGACTAAAGCCAGAAAAAGACAAATTAAGTCCTTAACAAACGTTTTCTCTGAGAAAGGGGACACCCTGTGGGAAATATGTTACAACTTCAACATTGGAGAATAACTAATGGTCACATGCTCATGGTCCAAGCTTGTGTTTGGTATAATAGCTTACTGACACGGTTGTGAGCGAAAAACTGAAACCAGTGGTTCTGTTTTTTTCTTCTAAGACTTACTCAACAAACCTTTTTTGGAAGATGAAAACAAAATAGGAAGTTATGACAATGTCCTTAGTCAACTAATTAAAACAAGACAAAAGATATCTGGGCCAATCAGCTCTGATTTTCACATGTAAACAGGAGTACAATTGAGGGTGGAAGCCAATCCTAGGCCTGTTGTTGCCTGGAAGGGGCATGTGAGTAAACATCCAATCATGGTGAACATGTGCCTGGTAGAAGAATACACAGAAGGCAGTATGAAGACAGGAGTGGAAATTGTGACACAGTGTGACCGAGTAAAATGTGAGTCAATCTCAGCTGAGTTGGCTGCGTTAAAGCCACAACGAAACACAACACATTTTTCACGGGTAAACCAGTGACGAATACTCTCACCTTTGGTGCCTCTATGGCTGTGTACGTGGCCCCTGGAGGGACCTGGTAGCCTTCTGTGTACAGTTTAAAATGGTGGATCAGAGACTCCATGGACATCTGGGACACAGAGAACACAACCGATGAGGAGAACTGGAGGTGATCACTTGTGTCGTGAACGACCAAAGCTACAGTACGTCATTCTTTAAATGAGGCCAATGAGACAAATTAGCGACAGCAGTGGTTTTAATTAACACGGGGGAATTCTCCAACACTGGAGCGACTCTAGAGAGGACAGGTGCCATTTCGAACAATTAAACTTCCTGTGGTTATATAAAGAAAAGCACAAGGAGGGTCGTTTCAGGGATGGAAAATAGGACCTCACCTTCATCTCGGACCTCTTGGGCGGGGCAACCTTAGCGTCGTCAACCTTAATCTCTCCTTCTGGCATCTTGTTGAGCGCCTGGAGAATGATTGTCAGAGACTGTCTCATCTCCTCCACTCTACACAGATACCTGAAACACACACATGTACGCGTACACACACAAAATAAGATATGCTTTGACAACATGGCGTATCAGGAAAACCACAAACAGATAATCTGCTGGAGATGTAAAATGTCCGTTTTTTCTATCATTTTCTGCTGTAGCATACATGGTTTATTTTTATTTTCTCCATGGCTACTCGTCTATAAAAGGGCTACTGTTGCTTTGGTCAGATTTGTTTGATTTTGTCTGCAAGTCATTTTACTCTACTTAAGTGTTTCTGACAGGCTGGTAAGAGCAATGATTTGTTTTGTTTTCGTAGATAGTTTATTTAAGAAGGTCCACAATGCTAGCAGAGGTTTTTTTCTGTTGTGTAATGAAGGATTTGATAAAACCTCTAAAGGCTTGCTGTAGAGTAGTACTATTTTATTGTAGTTTTAAGAATATAGTGGTTGCAGGAATAGTCTATCAATAGATAAATTACTTCAACATTGTCTTTTTTTGTTTTAGCACTGTTTTTGGTTTACATGAAAAAAGTATTTATTGTCTCATATTGTTATAGTTGTAACTATTTGTTTGTTATCACAGCTATGAATTGGCGATACCTGTCGTAGCAGTCTCCTTTGCTTCCAATTGGGACGTCAAACTCCACCTCATCGTACTTGTCATACGGCTGAGATTTTCTCAGGTCCCACTTAATGCCTGAGCCTCGTAGCATGACCCCACTTGGTAGAGGGAGAGAGGGAGGGAGGGGGAGAGTGGGAGAGGGGGGTGAGAGAGAGAGAGAAACAAATAGTCAAGTTAAAAGGAAAATATTTTTTTAACTAATATATGGTAAAAAAAACCCCATTGCTTTAGGATATGGGAGCATACATATTTTTGCAGTTTTGTACCTGAAGCCATAGTTGAGAGCATCTTCAGCTGTGACCACTCCGATGTCTACAGTACGACCTTTCCAGATGCGGTTGTTGGTCAACATCTGCACAGAGTTAACATCAACGGTTGGCACTACATTCTTTACTGTGTTTCATTCCAACCTGAGACAGTGGAGGAACCATAAGCATCACATCATCACCCACCTCCTCCATTTCGTCAATTCTGATGGAGAAATTCTTGCACCACTCATAGATGTCGTCCATCAGGCCCAGAGGTAAATCCTGGAGAGAATGAAAGATAATATGATGGACCAGATGGTCAACACAGGCCCCACATTTGATATGCGTTTTCCTTGACTTCACACAGTAAAGTCAGGGAAATGTTATTTTTATCATATGTACATTTTATGAGCGAAAACACCGAATCATACAGAACAACGGAACAAAACAACAGAATTCCTACCTGATGGACACCACCAGGTCTGATGTACGCAGCGTGCATTCTCGCTCCAGACACTCTCTCATAGAACTCAAACATCTGAGGAAGCAGTTTTCACAATGGTCATTACAAAAGCCTTACTTTGCATTTAAAATCTAAAGAGTTTGTCTTTTTTTTTACCAGAAAAATATATAACCTTCATGCCTTAGAACAATCAAACAATATTTCAAGCATGATTTCTGACCTTTTCCCTCTCCTCGAACATCCAGAAAAAGGGGGTCATTGCACCAACATCCAGGGCGTGTGTGGTGACGGCCATAATGTGGTTCAGAATGCGAGTAATCTCTCCAAAAAGAACTGAGGACACAACCATAATAATACAGGTTATATTTAAGAACCCATATTAAAGTGTAATGTGTGAAATTCTTTGCAATGTGGAATGGAAACCAAAATAATTCAAACGTGGATTTGTAAACCAAAAGGGAATCAGAGTGTTTCTACAGATGGATTCTTAGTATGCTAAAATTCTGCACAGCTCGGATGATATACGTAGTTCTGTACCTCTGATCCACTGAGCACGGATTGGAGCCTGGATGTTGAGCAGCTTCTCCACAGCCAGAGAGTAGGCCTCCTCATTACACATCATGGACACATAGTCCAGACGGTCAAAGTAGGGCAGAGCCTGTCACAGACAAAGGACAAATTCGAGTTCTTCATTTTCTTAACTAACTAAAGTTAGATGTAAACATGTTTGCAGTTTTCATGAGACATCTTTTACCTGCAGATAGGTTTTGTATTCAATGAGCTTTTCCGTGCCACGGTGAAGCAAGCCAATATGAGGGTCACATTTCATAACCATCTCTCCACTTAGCTCCATCACCAGGCGTAGCACACCGTGAGCTGCAGGATGCTGGGGGCCAAAATTTAGGGCCAGATTTGCAAGGTCGGTCATTGCAATGGGATCCACATCTGAATGATAGAAAACAAGCATGTGATTCAGCAGGTTCCAATGGCCAGGATAACAAACTGTATATAACAATATAAAAAGTGACTCTGTGTGTTTGTCTGTGTGTGTTTCCGTGCACTGATGAAGATACCATTCCATGGCGGTGGTTTCCAGTCCTGATTTTGCTCAGTGGGGTACATCGCTGCCCCTGAAAATGCTTCGTTGTACTCTGTGTCTGGTTGCCATCGTTTTTGTCTGGGATAACCATTTAACATAAGCATACATTTTAAAGAAGGCTTAAAAAATACGGCAGAGACAGGATATATCAAATGGCATAACTACATTCTTTCTATTGACAAAAATTGTCGCATGAAGTGATCCGTTCCATATTACACATGCAATCGATCTCGTTCAATAAAAAGTCATGAGTATTACACATTCGTGCAGACGATTACACTGACAACATTTACTGTATGTGAGCAGAAACAAACAACGCACACGTCAGATTTAATGTTAGCATTAATAATCGTAAACGCTGGCAAACACGTCACATAAAATACCACATATTTTGCGCACATTCTCTCAGTTTAAATAATTGAACTTATTTAACAGATTATGTCAAATATCCCAGCTTTGAGTGTTAAAGACGGGGCTGATAAACAGTAATACAAACTAGCTAATAAATCGGCTAATAGCTGAGGCCGTTGAGAAGACTGAATAAAGTAGGGTTATGACGCCAAGGTCAATATTTCTTTACGCGTATGCGCGTGCTCTTTGCATACAAACTTCATTCGAATGAATTATGAATAAATTGAGGTGTTATATTTAAAACAAATGGTGAATGCATGTTTTAAAGCTCAACGCTAAAATTAGCTTTGAGTGTGAATGTTTTAAAGGTGCTTCAGCCTGGAAGTGCAATGTTGACACCACGCGGCAATTTGCGTTAACATACCTGCTCTGAAGAACAGCACAGCTAGGGTTGATCAAGTTCTTATTATTTAATATTAATCTCGCTGAAGGACGTCCTAGACCGGAGAGCAACCTCAACATAGTGGTCGCCATCTTGGTTGACGGGAACCCTCCGGACAATGACGTAGAGATTTTCTTCGTCGATGCTTTCAAATGTGCGTTCAGTGGTGTTTCTGCACCCTAGCGACCGGAAGGATAGCTAATGAGAACGCAGCACTCGTTTTGGAATGTTTTCAGTGTTTGATTTATTTTTTATTTTACTTTATGCACCTTTATGAATGTGAACGTGTAGTTATATTATTAAAATAACAGAAAGTTAAAAACAAGGTGAGCCAATATGTCTACATTTAAAGAAAAAAAGACTATTTAAATAAGTAGGTCACTCGTGTAAATATATTTAAAAAATCGTTCATATCTTTTCAAAGGTCAAGATAAAGAATAGGACCAATCGTTATGATTGCTATGAAATGTTTAAATTTTATTTTGTTATTTTAAGCCAATAAAAGCATATAAACACACAAAGACGCCACACGCCGCAGTTTATAAAAAACAGTGCTTTTATTTACGTAATACTGTGGAAAAATAATTACATACCATTTTTAAAAAATATTGAAGATAATGAAATAAAAAATGAGAGTTTAACGTTTGTTGTACATCTTTTTGAACAGTTTTCTCTGCTATGAAGAACAGTACAATAAGATAAACATTGGAATTTCCTAAATTCAAAGACACAATAATACAGGATACAGTCCTACCAGAGGTATAAAAGTACTGGAACAGGATTGTGAGAGAAATGATATGGACATATAGAGAAACCACCTGGCACTCTTGGATATACACACACACTTGCGCGCACACACACTGTATGTCGTGCGCACGTGGGTCAGATGCCGCGCATTACGCAGCATCCTTCCCTTACATACAGTCACTCACACGTCTATACAAACACACTGTACAAATCAATGTGCGCGCTGACACCCACACCTCACTTTCACGCTCACACTTGCCATCACACACTACACGTCAATATTGTGGATAACCCTACGACGAACCGCTCCATACGCATTCTCCCCTGGCCATTTTCTTTTGGCAGACAGACGATACGGAATGATTTCAAAATGAAACGTGTGACATGTTCCCCTATAAGGCCACTCAGTCAGTTCTAAACCCAACATCTGTTGTTGTGTTCTTCTCTCTGTCTGCACCAGGCGTGTAGTTACGGGCTCAGAGGAAAAGGCTCCTGCCTATAGAAATGTCTGGGAATGACTCAAGGCCTCCAGCCTGGCGTGTAAAACCACAGATGCCAATAGAAGGAGCTTCTACTGCATATATACGCACACGGTCAAAGGTGGAAAAACATGAACACTTGGCACTAGTTTTTTTTAAATACACTGATATACCTTTCTGTTGCAAACTACGCCTCCATCTCAGGCTTCAACGGTGGCACAGCTATTCACTCTGTCTCAGTGGGTCCGACCCGGGGGGAAACTCCCGAGTTATGTGCACTCGCCATCAAACATTTGGTCCATACATACACATTAAATGTTTTACATTGACAAAAATAATTCTGTAATGTTAAAAATAGAATACAAAGCTCTAGTCTGGTGTGCAAATAAAAAGAGGACAATACACAGATATAGATAAGGGATGTCGAAGCATGGATACGGTAGATGCAGTGCAAAATGATGAGATACCTCCCATCCCCAACCCGTTGCCCCAACACTCTCCTCCCACGATGGAACGTACCGCTGGACTGTGGGGCATTCTGGGATATGATATATGTGCTCTATGATGAGACGATAGGACAACCAGCAAAACAAAAACAATAATAAAAAAGGCAAAACGATAGGACAGCAAAACAAAAACAATAATAAAAAAGAATGGCGGCCAGTAATGACTTCCACTGCTTGAGGTTTTTTATCTCAGCTGTCTTTTAACAGTCAGTCAGTTTTCCTTTAGACGTTCCTACTCATCATTTACAAAGTCCATTCATAGCAGAGGCTACGGGCTCCAAAGATCTGTGATCCTCCCTCTGTCTTCTCCCCCGTTCCTTCCCTATTCCCTGGTCTTGATTGTGACTTGCGCTGTCCGCTCTTTGAGAGCTCAGATTTACAAAAACATTGGGAGTGAGGGAAATAAAAACTGTGTGGAATTTCCCTTCCCTGTCTCACTAGAACCTCTTTTTTCCTCCCCTGGCTTCTTTTCTCCCCTCTCTGTTCCTGTGTTTCTCGTACCCTCCCTGTCTCACGGGTATGGTCTTCTGACTCTGTGCATGAGTATAAATGTGGTTATTTCGTTTCGTGTTCTGTAGCTGTGTGTGTGTGTGTGTTCAGAAGTGAGTGATACCGTGTGAAAGTACTGGTGTAAATCTGTGACTGTGTGTGTTTGGAGGTGTGACACTATTTATAAAATGTTTCCTCGTGCTCAGCTAAGACTGTGAGGTGGTCATTTGTCTTCGTCTCACACGTGAGTCTGCATCCTTTGTGTGTGTCGGCTGTGGGAGTAGTCGGAGTGCTGCGAGGTGTAGGAGAAACGAGTGGAGCTGCCGTACTTCCCCAGTCCAGTCTCTGATCCCGAGGGAGCTGGGCCCCCGGGACCGACTGCAGCCGGCCCTACCCCAGAACCCACCCCGTACATCTCGTAGGACGGCCCAGCCTCCAGGGGAGCCAGGCTGGACGGGGCAAAACCCATGCGGTAGGTCTGGTAATGAGAGGGGTATCCGTAGTTGTCGTAGGCCACCTGGGAGGTGGAGTCCAGGAGGCTGCAGTCTCCGGGGAACTCGCTGGTTGCTGGGGCAGGATTAGCAGGGGGCTGCTGGCTTTGGGCCCCTCGGGTGAAGGTGTTGAACTGGGCGTAGCTGATGTGGGATAGTCTGGACGGCGGTCTCGGGTCATAGCAGGCCTGGGGTCGGCCGGGTGAGGTTAAGGGCCCAGGGGGGCCGGGGGCTCCACCACTGGCCGTGGCTCCTGAGCCACCGGCACTGCTGCTAATGGATGCCGCTCCCCCTGGTGTTCCGGCAGGGGAGCGGTAGTCAGAATAATGCATGGTGGATCGGGAGGCAGGGCGGCCTTCGTCATGGGTGGAGGCTCGCACGTTATAGTAGCCATTGGTAGGATCCTGAAAAAAAAAACAGCAAAAAAGTTAAACTATTTAGCCATTTTACTCTGTCATCCATTAATTTCTTAAAGGGGAATTCCCCAAGAAATTAATGAAGTTCTAGCTATCTATCTAACACACAGATTTGAAGAGACCCTTTGCTTTTCACAGTCATTGTGAAACAACACAGTAGCTGTTCATATCCCTCAAAATATGAATTTAAACCATAACTTTCCCATAAACAGAAGAAAATAAAGATTTTCAGTCTCTGTGTTTCACCAACATCTACATCTGTTTTTCATTTCTTTCTGGCTCATGCAGCTTTTCAGTTTTCTCTAAAAACCAGTATCCAGCACAAGATCACGTTTTGGTATTTCTTCTTTTCAGTAGACTTTTCAGTAAGTCACATTTCCAGTAAGAGTAACCTGCATGTGTTACATTATGTAGTTTGAAACTGTAGCAGTTTGACCAAGTTAAGAAGAAAAAGATGTGGCTCTTCTCCAGGCCTGGTTGAATAAAAGATGACCCCTGGATTATCTCTCCTCTTTACACCCCCTACTGAGGACCCTGGTTGTCAATGTGAGCTAACCTCCAGCTCAAGGTGTTTTCACATCTATACATGTCAGCGCTACATGTCAGAATACTTCTACCAGAGGCAGAAACCTACAGTCTCAAAAGTGTAAAATGATTTATGCCAGCTGAATGGGTAGAATATGTCTGTAGCCCCTCTTGTCTTTTTCTGTCTTTTCTTCTTCGAATTTGTTCAGATGAACCAATTTTTTAAGCAATCGGAGGAACTGGTTTCATCACAGCTGGACTGAAATTCAAGAGTGGGGCGTACGGAGAGAGAGAGAGAGAGAGAGCAAGAAATTAGAGAACCGCCAATTACACTGCAACATGTTCTCTGTCCTACTTTCACTCTCATGTGTCACAAATCCCAGTACAAAGCAAGAACAAGGCCTAAGAAAAAACACTTTACTCAACTTTCCACTTTCTGCTGGACAGAATCAACAGACAAGAGTCTTAACCAATCACATAGAAGAATCAGGAAGCTGAACAACAAAAGGTCGGAAACTAAGATGACATCCCAGGCAGTTTGTGTGGCTGGTACTTGTTCTGATGTTTGCAGAAAAGCCACAAAGTAGAACAATATGACTTGTGAAACTCACAGAATAAAATATTTCCATTTGTTTTTATTTGTTTGTTTTTTTGGGAAACTCATAGAATAAAATATTTCCATTTGTTTTTTTCACAGTAAGAAAACATTAGACATGCTACTGATCTGTCAGAGCACATCACAGTAAGAAAACATTAGACATGCTAGACCAGGTGTGGGCAGACTTTTTGACTAGCGGGTCCCAATTGTCCTAAAATTGAACAGGTGGAACGTTCATGTGAACTAAGATTCACACAAAAGATTTAGAAAAGTTTGGCGGGCCGGATTAAAAAGGTGAAAGGGCCGCATCCAGCCCCCGGGCCTTAGTTTGCCAACACCTTACAAAACCCTAACATTAGTTCACATCACAGAAATCATACATAAGGTGTGTGTAGTGACCTGCACAATTTTAATTTCCAAAAGTGAAAACAAGACCCTTCCTTTTAAAAAACACATATGAGAGTGAGTTTTTATTAAGTTGTTAGACTTAAGATGCATTAATCATTCACATTTGGACTCTACAATTGTGTGCATTAATGCATTAATCATTCACATTTGGACTCTGTTGTTGAAGATCTTTGTGTGTGTCTTTCTTCAATTCCTGCCAGTATATTAGGGTTGTGTTCAACTGAAAAAGCCCCAGGTTGCACACTGAGTAGATAAATTGTGAGTAAATTCACAGGGGACAATCGTTGTATTTAATTACATGTACTTCTTGAGAGATTTTTTGTGAAATTAGCTTAGAAAGACTAGGAGAAATTAGGATCGTTGCCACCTCGGGGAATTTTTCTGGAGTCTGTGTGATCTCACCTTTAGGTCATACTCTTGGCGGGTGTCCAGGGTGTCACTGCGGAGGTCAGACTTCAGCTCTATGTCATCTTTGAAAGGCTGATTGGAGGGAGAGAAGGACACAGAGGGGAGAAACTAAATTGTCAAACCACAAAACAAAAATAAAAAAGGGGACCAAAAAAAAGTCAAAACAGGAAAGAAATAAGGGAAGAAAAAAGAGGAAAAAAAAGAGTTAAAAAGGAGTGAGAATGAAAGTTTGTTTTTAGTTAAAGACGTGCAGAGCAGGGAGAGGCTGTTGAGTTAATCTGAGGTTTTTCCTTAAGCTACAGGCTGTGTAAACACTGTCCGGCACAAGTACACAGATCCCGCTGCCGCTCACCGAGTACATGGCCTTGACCATGCGAGAAGCCGTGGACACGCTGCCGGAGTCCTCCTCTAAGCTGTGGGTCTCCTTGTTTATCGTCTCCACCTTGATGTCGGGCTTACCCAGCGTGACCCCGCGCCGACCTAGAAGCAAAACACAGCAAAGGCTGAATGCAGCTGGACACACGCGTCCCCCTGGTGGGTTTTCATGAGCGAGTTGATGGAGCAGCCGTACGATGAGGAGGGAGCCCTACGTTCTCTACAGCACCATGGTACTCCAAAGAAAAATGATGAAAACTTCTTCTTCAGGTTGAGGATTGCTTTTATAGCATGTGTGTGTGTGTGAGTGAGTTAGAGACAGAGACAGAGAGAGAGCAGACAATGACTCACTGCCTTTGCGCTGCCGGTAGAAGATAAGAACAAGGATCAGCAGAAAGATGAAGAGGAGAATGGTGGAGCCCACAGTTCCAACGGCGATTAATCCCACTGGAACGTCATCTGAAATAAGCGAGGGTCAGGGACAGTGACTTGTGGTTAGTAAAAAAAAAAAAAAATCAATTACAGTAAATTAATGACACAAAAAAACAAATAAAGTAGTAGCCAAGTAGCCAATTTAGTCTTCTCAACACGGTCAGAAGTATCCTGGCATCCACCATTGTTGTTATTGTGTGGCATACAGAGCCAGAGTTTTAAAAACTACTCTACTCTGCAACATATGTTTGGAGAACACGGACTTCTCTGTCCCAAAACTCAGATTTGTCTAAGAACACGAGGCCAAATCAACACTATTGCTCCGAGATCAGTAGTTCCTTATTGTCATTGTGTAAACACCACCTGAAATGGGTTTGTGTAAATGTCTGCAGGTAGGCGATGCAAATGTGCGTTATTGAGGATTCTTTGGTGTTGGTCGACATGAAAAGACTGAAACCACGGGAATCTAACAACCCATACATTCATTAAGCTGTTGATTGTACTTTGGAAGTCTTTATTCATTTTTATGAACTGAATTGAACTGCTGCAGGTTGTGAAAAGTTTTTGTTACTCAAATTAAATGTCTTTTTGTTTAGTGTGATTTCAACAGTTATATCGCAGGGATAAATGGAGGCAAAATATGTTCATTTTTGGGAGAAAAGCACAGGTTCAGCAACTCAGAAGCTTTTAGACTGGGAGATTAAATAGAAACTTTATTTGGATTATTTTAATATAATTGACTAGTACATGCCAATAGGTCCGGTATGAGCAAACTAAGGCTCGGGGGCCCATATACGGCCCATTCAGCTTTTTAATCTGGCATGCCGATCTTTATATTTTATTTTCCATCCATCCATCCATTTTCATCCGCTTATCCGTTACCGGGTCGCGGGGGGAGCAGTTGCCACCCCAATCACATTGCACCGTACCAACCCCCCCAAACCCCCCCCTGGGTGGGGGGGGCACCGGGAGACACGAACGCTCCATCTATCTACTCCTGACCTGGCCCCCCTGTTCAATTTCAGGACCAATTGTGGCCCGTGAGTCAAAAAGATTGCCCACGCCTGAGCTAGGTCCAGTTCATGTTCCATACCTCCAACAATTTGGAGGTCAAAGGTGAAGGTTAAAGGTTAAAGACAAACAATTTTGAGCTTTTAGCACATCCTGCGTCAACATTGCTGTAGCAACGCAATACATAAAAATAAATATATCTTAAATATCTTATTCTACTTCAATTTCCTGACAGTAACTTTTAGGATTTCTAACAACTATGCAAAATATTCCCCCAAAAAATAAATAACAAATGACCCACCATTCTCCTCCAGCGAGATGATCATAGTGCCGGGGCCGAAAGCATTCCAGGCCGTGCAGTTGTAAGTGGACAGAAAGTCGGACTCCATCACGTTGTTGATGGTGAGGGTGGAGAGGACGCCTCCGCCCTCGGCCGATGACTTGCTCTGCTCCACTGTGTAGCGCTCCAGAAGTGTTCCCTTCTCCTTCTCCCACACGTTCTCCTTCCAGGCCCATACCTGACGCACACACGCAGGAACAAATACGTGGATTTATGACGTTATTCAATTTTTATAATGTTTGTTATGAACAACTTCCTGTCCGAGCTTGAAATAGAACCGATAAAGTAAACTGACAGTCTGCAGTAAAGTTGTTGTAGGGTTATAGTCTTTCAACTCTATACATGTACTGTACATCATTTTCATGGCGACGTTTCTCTGTGCTCTGACTGGTAATTTCCACAAGAGCATCTGAAAGTCACGTGACACAATAGCAACAGCGTTGCGTTTTAAAGTTCAGAGAAATACCCGTTTTATCCCATTGTGTTCATGGTCATGAGGCTGACGCCCCTCGTTTATGAACGGGAAATCAACATTGTGAAAAGTGGAGAACAGCCTCTGGAGAACTGTGTGGAATGACCCACATTTGAAGAGACATGGGAATTTTTTGTTTTCCTCTGTGGAATGTGTTTTTGGAGCTTTTTTGAATCATTTCCATTTTTATCAGCTGTTCCCTTGAGATTCATTCCATCAAACTTTGTTAGGTTTTTTTAAATATATTTCATACTATTTGCACAATTCCACTACATGCATTTAGCAGATATGGACTGCAGCTACCTCGCTATTGCCTACTGCTGTGGAATTGGGGCAGATGCACAATAACAGTCTATAGCACAGGACTCAAACTCAGGTCCGCGGGCCAAATCTGGCCCCTGGTGTAATTATATTTGGCCCGCAAGATCATACCAAATGTTTATGGTATAGAGCTGGTCAGCAATTATATAGCCACTATATACTGGTGGGATTTGTGGTATTACAGTGGTGATGTATGCACAATACTATAGCACATACATTTTTGGTTGTTCTTTTGTTGGCTAAAACAAATCACATTGAAAAGGAACTCAAAAGGCTGGAGACGGAGAGAGACATATTATATAAGAAAGGAATACCACTAAGGTGTGTCTTATTTCAAATTTAATTTCTCATGTGTTTATAATATTAAGCTTGGGTCGTTCCAGATTCAATGTTTACGCAAAACTAAAGTGCGTTTCCACATGAATAAATTCAGCAAAACTTTTCAGTCAACTTTTCAACAAATATTACGTTTGGCCCACAACTTAGTCCCAATTTTTAATTTTGTCCCACTGTGAATTTGAGTTTGACACCCCTGGTGTCCCCTGGTTTGGGAAACAGCAGTGTTGTGGAAAACAGTGGTCTACAGGACATCGTTAGTGTCCTTTCAATAATAATTCCTAACATCTGAGGTTATTATAGCTCACAGGGTTAACACACAATCACGATCAGGGCTTAACTCCCTCCTCAATGTAAAGTCTGCGGTAAAGAAAATGGATGAAGTGCGACAGGGTTGCGTTTTATTAATTACGCACAGTCGGGGCCATGTCATTGTTTGTATAAAGAGCTAGAGTTAACGGCAGCATCAGTCTAATTCCAAAACCAAACTTCAACAGAGAAGGGAGTTGACATTTTTTCAGTTGAATGAATCCAGATGTAGCTACATGTAGTAATTATTGTTAAGAAAACATCATCCATGTGGCTGTACTCCGACAAACAGAGGGGAATACATTTTTGTTTAAAGTATCCATCCCAACATTTGTTGATGCCGTTTGTGAGGACCATTGTTTCCCAAGAGTGGGTCGCAAGAGATTTTTTTTTGATGTCGTCTCGCATCATGTTTCCCAGGAGTTTACGATTAATGTCTATTGACTTTGGTCAAGGAGGTTTGGGACTTTTAAAATATAGGTCTCCAAAAATATGTTTGGGAAACACTGCTGTAGACCGTAGGATTTTTGATGCAGACAGGAAGTGCAGACCTCTCTAGTACTGTATTAATGTATATAATTGTATAAAATTGTTTTATGATTAACTGAACTTGTAGTGTAGAACTGTATCTGAGTTCTTCAAATTACACACGTTTTGGTTGTCCCCCTAGGGGTTGCAACCCCCATATTTAAAACCCCTGTTATGGGGTAGGGCTTCTTCTAAATGCTGATCTTTTCTTGACCCCTTTACAAAAATATTCCCAACTGTTTCAAAGGAAGGGTCCCACACTTTTCATCATAATGTATGAACGGTCACTCTCTCGCCAGTTGCACAATGAAGTTGACGATAAAACATAAAAATATAGACAGCAGCTGGTGCAGTTCAGCCCAGCACAATAAAAGGAAACGGGGGAAACAGCGATCTTGGCACTGGAACGGAAACTACCAGCAACTCAACAGGTGGTGAACAGAGGCAAACTGCTGACAGGAGCTACAAACGTGCCACATAGAAATGAGTGAGGTCTCAATGTATCTGACTCACAGCAAAGGAAAAAAAAAGGCTTTGACAATGTGTACAGCAGTTGTACTCAGTTTTCTATGCTGCTTTTAGTACTGGAAGTGTTTAGGTCATGTTTAATGTTCTTATTTAGACAAAAAAAAAAACAGTTGAAAAATCCGTTTTTGTTGTACACGCATGAACATGACACAACAGCGCCATTCACAACACCACATAAGAAAGCCCCATAAATATGTACACTGTGTACACACTGACATGTAAACACGCACGCTGCACGATCTCCTTGAGCAGCCACTCTTTGTAAGTTCCTGCAGACAAGGTGAAGTCAACGGTGCTGGCGTGAATCTGGCACATTCTCTAACCTTCGAGTCGCTAACAGCCGCTTCATTATTCAGCAACGCATAAAAAAGACGGTCAATTATGCATTAGCCCCACATGTTCCCATAATGTGGCCACTTTTTCCAGCGAAGGAGAATCTCCTGGCTGAGACGTTTACTGGGACAACTGTTCCCCCCTCGCCTGTCATTCATATTTTATGAATCCTTTTTTTTTATTCATCCCTACGTTTGTCACTCGCAAAAAAAAAAAAAAGGAAAAAAAAAAAAAAAAAACAACAGCTCAGGATGGAGACCTCACGGACGGAGCAGTGGAACAAGTACAACTGTGACTTCCTGGCTGTGGAGCTAAAAGTGGAGCGGCTCAGTGTCAAAGTTGGTTTGTTTATGCGCAGGCATGGAGGAACGCTCTGGAAGAGTTTACGGGTGAGTCACCACTTGAAGGGAAAAGGGGAGACGGTGTCTAAAAGCCCTGACTGTACCAAAGGGAAGCCATTTAGATACTAGAGAGGTAGAGCGGCGGTAAAGCACCGATGACTTGAACATTAAAAGTACAACCTTGTGCTCTTTGTGACCAAAGCTTTCCCTTGCTATTGTCTGAATAATTGACCCTGGGGTAACATTTGGAGAGTACAATTGCAGGTGGGAGACCATTAGTGCTTCCATGCCCCCCTCCCTCAACCCTCCTCCCTCTTTAAACACTTACAATCTTATCGGGCGGAGGTGTACTGGCTATGAAGCACTTCACCTCTCCTCTCTCCCCCCTCACTGCGTACTGGACTGAATCACTGGAGATGATAGGAGGACCTGCATTGGTCAAAGAGACAGGAGAAAATTGGTTTAAAGACAACAAACATTTTCAACAACAATTTATATATGAAACTGTGTGGACGTTTTCTGACCATTGACGGTGAGCGTGACCTCCGTCTCGCCTACTCCGATCCGTGGGACGATGGCCTTACAAACATACTGGCCGGCATCGGCCTGGCTCACTGACTTCAAGTACAGCTGGTTGCTGTTACTCAGGACCTGTGGGGGAGTGAACAGAAATTATAAACAAGGCAAATCTGCTGCGCAGCAGGAGGCGATAAACAAAATAAAAGCCCACATGGACAAGAGTTTGAAATGAATGCGCTATTGTAGCTCCACTTCGGAAACCTTATTGCTCGTCTGGCCTCGTTTCAGTGGACATCCTCTGCAGCGAACGTGAATGGCTGACAACGCAAACAACACAAAGGTTGTGCAGTCGCCTAGCAACGGCAGGAGTAACTGCTCGTGTGCGTACTGTAGCTAAAGATGTAGGTTCAGTAGGGGAAGATAAAAACACCTGCATACGTTAATTCAGGTTAAGGCTTAAATCCCGCGTTGGTGTTTCTTTAAAAACTGTGTTATGATTCTTGTGCCATTGTTACAGCGGATTGTTGTATAATTAGAAACTCCAGGTCTGTGTGACACGCTACTCGTCAAGCAATTTTTTGGGCAGATCCTGAATATGATGGTGCTGATCGTATAATCAGACAACATAACCAGCACTACCTCATGTAGAAAACAAAAACATATGTGCAAAATCGTTCCGAAAACAGGTGTAATATGTGCACTTTCATGTGCAATATCGTTCACTTTTGTGTGTAAGGGTAAAAACCATGATATGGAAATTATTTTACCGTTATTATCGTCAGATTTTTGTTTTTTATTATTATTATTAGGGTGGGTGGATGAATGGATGGATGGATGGATGGATGATAGCATCAATTGCTCTACCTCTGTATAAACAAGGTCATATTCTGTAATACAGACTACTGTATTCACTGAGAAAATAACAACACTTACACTGGATTATAGTGGCGTTTAACTTAACTCATGGACCCGTCCTTCTACAACTTAGTGTCAGAGATGAAAGATGAATGAAAACTACAGCTGCAAATCGAGTGTTATTTTAAGGACACAGAGGACGGCAGGAGAAATGACCAAGAAAAGAAGATGAAGGCGATATCTAGCTATTTCTAGGTGTGAAGGTGAAAGAAGAACCTCCGCACCATGTTTGAGCCCTTTTTGAACCAGGTGAGAGTCAGCGGAGGGTTTCCCGCCCATTTGCAGTTGAGCGTGACGTCAGAGTCGACGTCGACAGTTTTCGGCTGCGGCTCCACCAATAGGAACGGACCAACTAGACGGAGGAGGACGGCAAGGAGAGAGAAGGTGTTAGAAGATAAAGGATGTCAGTTATTTTATTCATATTCTCTGTATTTAATGCTATTTTTTATGGTCATCTCTGTTTCAGGAGTCTCCGTTATTTTCTTCATGGTTATTAAGCTAACACCTGACATTACATCATCAGTATGAGTATAACTGTGACTGGACAAGGTGAGACAGTCTGGGTTCGGGTGACTCACACTGAACATCAACCAGGATGCTGACGTTGGTCTTTCCGACAGCGTTGAACACCAGACAGGAGACTGGCTCAGTGAAGAAGGAGTGGTCCGCCTTGGTGGTGAACACACTCTCGCGGGCACCCTGCAGCACCACGCCACCCTTAGCCCACCTGCCAATGAAACGGAGAGAGAGAAGCTGATGTTCTGTTTTGGTCGTGAAACCAAGACAAACACGGGGTGGCTTTAAACCAGTGTTTCCCAAACGTTTTTTCCGGGGACCCATAATTTAAGAGTTACAAACCTTCCCGACGCAAGTCAATAGACATTATTCATAAACTCCTGGGAAACATGATGCGAGACGACCCCCAAACAAAAACTCTGAGGGTCGCGACCCAGTCTTTGGGAAACAATGCTTTAAACCATCCAGTGGAAATAAGTGGTTGTCTGCATGTGGAATCAGACCTGTATCCCATGATGGGAGGGTTGGCGTGAGCCTGACAGGTGAAAGTGACTCGTTCCCCCTCCTGGACCGAGCGGGGCTCAATGGACAAGGTCACAGTCGGTGCATCTGTGGAGGGACGGAAGGGAGAGGGGGAGGGAGTCATATTGACACAGCCTCACTACATTCAAAATTCAGCACAATCTGGACGATGGTCTGCTGCAAAATGGCGGCCATGCATTATTTAGTCTTTTTTAAATCCTCAGTCCGACAGACTGTATACGTATTATTGTAATACTTGTTATCATGACATCAATTCTGTGTGTTGACAGATCATTTAGGTTTGAGAGCAAGGGCTACTGACGGTGAACGTTGAGGGTGACGGTCGTCATTTTGCCAATGGGAATGGCCAGGTTTGTGGTCGTACAGCTGTAGTTCCTTCCTGTGTCAGTGTCCACCGGGTGGATGGGCAGGAAGCTACGCGTGGTCACTCTCTTCCTGTCCGGAAGCACCTCCTGGAGGTCGAAGGACAAGGGTCAGGGTTAAGCATTTAGCTGTAAACGCCGCTCACGAGTCGGGCATGCTGTTCTTGCCGTTTGACTTACAGTGATACTGACAGCGCCCTCCACAGGCAGACCATCTTTGAGCCACTCGATGGTAGAAGGCGGCTTGGCTCCTCGAGACACGCAGCTCAGGTTGTAGGACTCGCCGGCGTTCAGCAGCACCTCCGGACCGCCGTCGATCACAGGGTCGTCCGGGGGGACTAGGGCAGGAAAGGACAGCGGAAAAGTCAAGCGATTGCCTTTTTTGGAAACATGCAAACATGGAACACGAAGGCAAAGGGAACACACTGAGGACGGTGAGTTTAGCCCTTCTGGACCTCAGCGCAGCATCAGGGGCCTGGCACTCGTACAGGGAGTCATCGGACAGATCTGCCGACAGAATCTCCAGGTTGTACTGTCCCAGGTCCTGCACACGTAAGACTCTGTACCTGGGCCAGGCTGGAGGACAACAAAAACGAGAGACAAATATAGTCAAATATACAAATATGGCCAAAGGGGAATTTTTAACCTTTAGAATTTAAAGTAGGTTTTTTTTTAATTCAACACAAAAATAACATGTGGTGTGAGTCCCACTAGTTTGACTTTTCCCTGACTGAGCTAAGAAACGACCCAGGACAGCTGTCAAGGCCTCACGATGTGATGAACGTAAACAAACACATATGCACGTACAATCTTATGGAGAACGCACACACACATACACACACACATAAAGTACATCCACAGCCTCTTTGATTCTACAGTTCCCTTCCCCCCAGCCCCACACAGCACAACTGTGTCACTGCTCTACATTCTCACCATTAGGTGGCATCCATGCTCTCTTTCCTCAGCGGGGAGGAAGGGTGGGGGTGGGGGGGTTAATGCTATCACAACAACATTTTAAGAAGAGTTCAATCAACTCTGGTGCAGAATTCATGTAGCCTGCACACATGAAGGCAGCGTTTAGAAACCTCAGCTGCCTCCTTCTTTCTGTATGCAAGTGTGTGTCTGCACGTGTGTGCGTTTGCCTGGTATATACGTGGATTTGCATGTGAAACGTGGAGGCCAGGAAAGCTCATGCAATGCAAAGAAAGAGGGGGCTGGGAGAGACGTAGGGGGTCAGAGTCGTATAGACGAGCACACACACACACACACACACAGGACCAGGAGATGGGTGTATGTGTGCATGAGCGGGCCACTGTTCAGTCGCATGTTTTTATTTAAAAGCTTTGGCTTGAAGCACCAGAGCATTACAGTAACAATATGATTTAAAGAATGGAAGGATGGGACGGACGAGGACAAAGAAGGAGAAAGGAGGGAGGGAAGGACTGACAGGAATGTTTGATGAAGGTAAGGAGGAGAGACAGAAGAAGAGGGAGGAAGGGCCAGAAGGAGAAGCATTGCTAAAAAAAAGATGGAGCAGGATAGGATAGGAGCAAAGAAAGGAATGAGGAGGAAAGGAAAGAAGAGGATATGATAGGATTGTAGGAGAGGAGAGGAGAGGAGAGGAGAGCTGCTATTCATAATAAAATGTTTAAGCTGAAATGAAAGCGAGGAGACAAGAATAATACATAACAGCAGCATAAGGGTAGGCATGGATGATGTTTATATATCGGTTAATGAAGTTAACTAATCAGTTAACTACCATCCCTCGCAGCCTACGTTACAGAGACGATGGCGCGATCATGAATCAAACTGAAAGCTGTCAGTTAGTGAGACATGAGGCTGTAGCTATTAGCCGACAAGCCAAAATTAACATCGACCTAAAAGAGTGTGTTCCAGCGACGATACATTAAATGCAAGAGGGTCAAAATACATGCGACATCTCCCTGAAGTGACACGTGATAAAGATCACTTTTAGCTCTGCTGCAGAGTTCTTTGCATAAAACGTCTTGGCGGCATGATGTTTTTTTAAACAGCAGAGGTCAAACGATGGCATCCATTTGAAATTCACTCTCTGGAAAATTAACTATAGGCCTCGTATCAGAACTGGCCGGTGTCCAGCGATGTGTTATTTAAAATTATGGATACAGACTATCTCCATCTCTCTGGCTTTTATTAGAGCGAAGCTCAAGACCATTTCATCAGTTCATATGGAGTACAGTACGATTTGGCCCTGGTCAAGGACAGTGGTTTTATTGGTGTAGTTACTTGTATTTGCTAATTTCCCTTTTTGCTTTACTAATGTGGAAAAAAAAACTGATTGTGGGAACTGTAAATAAATGTTGAATCAAATCTTAATTATGTTGTTTATTTATTTGTCTTATACAGCTAAATCTTATATGTATGTACATATAAATATATCATATCATATCACAAACAGTATATTTATATACAAATACATACATTTTGTGTATTTAATGTAAATATCAATATCTTAAACCAATTCTCTTAGTATTTTAAAGTTATGATGACTGGGTTCCCGTTTTAAATATTTTTTTGTATTTTATTTATATTTCTGTCTAAATATATAAATAAATACAAAAATATATATAATTTGATATTTTTTGAGATATTCCATTGAAATGTATGCAAAGGAGGGTATGTTTGTGTTCGGAGTTTGAATATTGTACTTTGAGTTAAATACGAGGAGTTCAGTAGGAAAATAAATGTAAGTCAATGCATGAACTCAGTGGTTCTCAAACTGTGGTACACGTACCACCGGTGGTACGTGAGCTCTCTCTAGTGGTAGGTGGGGAAAATTTATATTTTCACATTTACATTATCAATTGAATAAATCTGAAACATACCATGCACAATTAATACAACAGTTAAACCTAAACATCTTCCTAAACATCTTTCTAAACATCTTTCTAAACATCTCTCCTGTGGTGGAAGCTAACAGTGAAGGCCTCTGCTGCTGTATTCTAATGTTGGTCATCATGGTGGTACTCAGAGAGATCACTGTTTTCTCAGGTGGTACAGAGGAGAAAACGTTGGAGAACCACTGGATTAACTGATTGGCCCATGGGCAGTTTTGTGTGTCCGATTAACCTGACCCCTGCCTGTTTCTGACTGTGGGAGTCTCACACTGGGAGATGATGCAACCATATACAAACAGACTATCAGTTACAACCAGGATTATCTCACTTTATAGCAGGACTACAAACCACCCTTTCACTATGTGACTTATTATTTTCTTCCAAGTCCTTTTCCATTTTATTCAAGTTTTCTCACAGTGACTTAAATACTTTAATACTGTTCTGTTTTATTTATTCTCCTCCTGGCTCCTCTATGAAACTCACTGACATTTACTGACTATCATTCCGTGTTCCATTCTTGTTTTTATTTTGAATTCAGAACTTTATTGGGGTTTTTTTTTTATGTCTTCTTTTCGTTAACTGATCCACATAAGCACATTTAAGTACAGAGCCTGACTCAGCCTGGTTGCAGTTGTGTCCTGTACATCCTGTTATAACTGGTGGTTTATTGTGACATCAGGTTTGTGAGTGTACACTTACACTCCATTTATTCCCCTCTGCATTCACCGAAATAGGTTGGATTAACAAGTGAGCTGTTTCTGCACTGACAGTGGAAAGTGAAACCTCTGTAAATTCCCAGTGCGAAATTATGCTTAGACCCGAAGAAAGTCATTTTTAGGTCACATGTGGAAGACAAAAAAAAGGAGAGAAGGGAGAAGGGCTTATGACTGTCTCACCCCGTAGGTCTTCTCCGATGCCCAAAGCGAGGCCATCTTTGGTCCACTGAACGATGCCCGAGTAGTTGAAGACAACACAGGAGAGGATCACCCTCTGGCCCCGCACCACCGACTGGTCTGCTGGCTCCTGAGAGAACCTCGCTGTCCACACTGGAGATACGGTGAGATGATGGAAAGGGGGGAGAGAGGAAGGAGGATGAGGATAAGTTTGGGACTTTCTCATTTTCATCGCGATCACGCTGCAGGCGAGCTGCTGTAAAAATCATCCCGACCGCGATCACGGCATGTTATTGTACGTGTGGTTTTATGGTTGATGGATTAGAAAAGCACGTTCCCCCAGCAGCAATGGAATGCCACGGTTACCATCTTTGATCACACGATGGCTCGCGGCCATTGACTGCACGATGAGGAGGGGAACAGCGCAGGAAGACAGAGGTGTCAAAGAGGAGGAAATGAAAACGGAGTTGGAAGAGACGAAAGAAAGGAGAAAAAAAAAGGTTGAGGAGGAAGAAGCTGTTAATGCTGACTCAGGAGAGGGGAGCTGGGAGATCAAACACGCAACCTCAGCCACAGGGCCTCTCCCACCCCTCTCCTTCCCTCCTCAATCCTGACTTTAACTTCTCCACAACACTTCAGCTCTCCATCTAATCTCTCCCTCTCTCTCTTTTTTTTCTCCCTTCTTCATTCCTGCCTATGAGTCATCTCCCTGGCTTCCACTCCCCAACCGAAACTACAGTGGCTGTCATTGTCTCCTGAGATCACTCCATCCAGTCTGTGGTCCAGTGGCACAGCAGATTGACCGACCAATGGGCAGACGTTAAAATAGGGGCCATCGAAGAGAGAGAAACCCTGTGCGACTGTACTCGGCTGCACGATAAGTTGTAATTAGTCGTCTCTTGAAGGAGGAGGATTTGATTGGTTCTGTTGCTCTCTCCTCCTGCCCTCTTATAACATCGAGGATTATTGTACAGTAGATCATTAACCTGATGCTGCAGTGTGCAGCCCCCCCCACCCTTTTCCTCCGCCGTCCCTCCGTTCACACTACAACAATGTACGTCCTTTAGCCAAATAGTTTTGCCTCGCTCTCTGCTTCTCCCTCTATGCACGCCCGTCTCTTTGGATGCCGTGTGCGAGCGTCCTGCCTGCACTGATTTCCCTCTGCATCCCTACAGTATGCACACGCCTGACCATATACATATATAATGCTTTACATGTCACTTTTACCCATAACGCTTTCTATTTCCGAGTTCCTACTCATCGCTGGTTGGAAGGGGGTTAGAGGCGGACTGTCACAACTCATTTATCACATTAAATATCAGCCCTCCAGCACTTTCTCGCTCCCTCTCCTTCTCAACCCCCGCGTTCACCCGCTTTCTTCGCTCACTTTTTTTTTGCCTCCCTCACGTCGTTCTCCTCACCCCCTACCATTTATATCTCTATATCTTCCCACTTGTACTCTTTTTATGAATCCTTTGCCCCCCCCCTCTGTTCCTCGCTCTTCCTCCCCTCATTCCTTCACACTTTTTTTCTAAGAACCCCGCAGCACTTTCCTGAAGGTTCTCATTTCTCTCACTTTTAGTAACAACTGCCATATGCCTCTGTGGCCCGCTTCCCTCCCCCCAGCGATGACCCACAGTCCCTATCGCACTCACCCATTCACATATACAGATGTGCACTCTCCCCCACAATCATGTCAGATCTTCTGAGGTACAGTGCGCCTGTAATTGTGAAAGAACGCAGTGGAGCAAAACTGATCACAACAACAGTTTCTGACATTTACCCTGTGAAGATAAAAAAAAGACACAGAGGGACTAAGGAATTAAATGCAGATGGAGCTTCGCAGCATGCATACCTAGAATAATTGAGCAATGAACCCCCGCAAAGAATATATATATAAAAAAAATAGCAGTTCTTAATTTCATCCCTGAGGATCACACAGTGTAACAGGATCGCCGTATTTAAAATAAACAATGAAGAAAACAGTAAAAATGTCTGGCTTCTAAAAACATAAACTTAAACAACCACAAACACCGAGACTCAAAACTCAACAAGAAAAAAAAAAGATTCTTGATTCTTCAGTGTTTTTCTTCTTAGGTTTTATTTTATTGATTAAACCAAATACCAGTAGGGTTTTGACATCTTTCAGTATATATTATGAATTTTATTATGGGAGGACAAATAAAATGGTATTGAATGAGGGAATGTTTACCAGTTTGCCAGTTTGTTTTCAGAAATTGATTCCTGCTTTAAACAAAGCCTCACAGTTCTAAGATATAATTACTGTACTTTTATAGGCTTTTGTAAAGCATGAAATAAACACTGCTTATATATTGATAGTAGATGGGTGAAGAGAGGGTTTATCTGGGTTTAAACTATCTCGAAACCTCTGCAGTAGCCCGAGGCCAAGTAAATCCTTCCATCTACCGACTCATGTATGCGAGGTGGATGGTATTCCCTCTACTGCCTCAGAAAACCACAAACATAATCCAAACTGAATACATCATGTGTGAGGAGGCTGCACAATCTGCAGAGAAAACACCCATCCAAAAGACTGAAAACAGTGACTCATATAAACATGTGCTCATCGCCGTCTGATTTCCATATTATCTACTTAACACTTGTCAACACGAGTGCCCGCGAACGCTTCTGTCACTTCCCGAACTGGCAAATCTACACACCTAGAGCGGTCCACGCAACGGCAAGGCAAGAGGGTGCTAGAGCAGTCCACGCAACGGCAAGGCAAGAGGGTGTGCAAGGGACCGTGTGCACTCTCATTATGTGGGTTATGCTGCAGTGACAAATTTAGAGTGTCCTGATTTTCTTGAGTCGCTGATCCCCAAGACGCCGCCAGGATACTCCAAGTACCCCAGTCCGCACAACGACTACAGCACAAAGCTGCTACCACGTGCTCTCGGAAAAACACGCAGATGACCAAACCCACACCACATGGGCTTACCATTTCCTGTCAACACAACGCACACAACATAACCAGTCTCAACCCCAAACATGTAATCGACACATTGAGGTGGTTTCCTGGACGAGGATTACACCACGACTCGGACTGAAACCTTCAGCCAATGGAGTGTCTGCGTCTGCACTGGGAACCGGTTTGCTTTAGTTCAGGATTAGGTGCAAACCCTGTGGTCAGTGTCTGAAAAGGGATTTGGATTAACTCGGAGAAAAGGACAATGACTCCCACAGACGTAGCGACACTGGCATTGGTTTGTCGAAGACGGAACAAAGCCAATGGCAAGCACGTACACGCACGCACGCACGCAGTGTTGGCAGGTGACTCACCAAAATCATGGGCACACACACCCCTATGACATGATCCAAACAGTCAATTTAGCCTCAAAGCACCTCCCGCATCATAAAATAGTGTGACAATAGCGAGTTAATGGAGCGTTCATTTGCCGCTGAGAATGACTGGTAGAGAAGATGCATGCAAAGGTGTTGGGGCTATTTTTAGAAGTGCTGCTGCTCTATGTTAATTTGCCACACACCCTTGGCAGTGAATGTCACAGCCTGCTTTCCAATTTTCAAACAGTCTTTCCTCTCCTCCCTGAATCGGACAGGAGACGAAGGTGAATGTAATGTCGCGCAACAGAGCCTCCTGGGAAAGGCTCGGTCCAGCCTCACTGAATCACACGCCGTTTAATAAAATGCCATTTTTATGGATTGTTATGCATCGATCTAATTATCGTTGTCTCTACTACCCCCCTCCCCTTTTATATTCTTTAGTACCCCTGCAACAAAGTCCCCCGTCCTTCCCCTACTTCGCTCCACTCCAGCCAATCCCTTGCTTTGGCTGGATCATAGACTCGCATCACCATAGCAACAGCTGACGTGTAAAGTAACTGCCCAAAAAAAAAGTTTTCTGTCTGCGAGTGCACACGAGTGTGTGCATCTGTGTGTCTGATGAAACCCTCCCTTGAGCTCGGTACACCCATTTTTTTTAGAAAGAAGGAACGAAATCATTCAATGACCTCATCCTTTCCCCACTATCCAATTAATAATGGGGCGAGAAGTGCTGCTCTGTCCGTCCCCTCCCTCGCACCCCTCATATCTCGCACACCTTGCACGTTTCCATGATTGTTTGTTAGTCCACAGCTAAATTGATTTTGGTTATCAGCCCCATTCCATATCGCCACAGAGTGTGGACCTGGTTTTGGTGTTATGAACGGGCTGCCTGAAAATGAGATGC